ACTTTATCGTATAATAGTTGAAGTGAAAAATAAATCTACAATTACAATTAGGGGTATGTCCTTATGTGTTCTGGAAACAAAGCCAAGAGTGCATATTTTATGTAAGGGTCTGTAAATTTTAGTGGAAGACTCAACTCTGGCTCATGTTCCTATTTTCAAGGCTAACTTTTGAGCTATGTAAATAAGATTTCTCTAAATTAGAAGTAGGATACATAAAATATGACTTTGCTATCATGCTGCGAGGATTTTTGGAAATGTAAATATACTTTGATTTACTAAGAATTTCGTAGTCAAGGAAAAAGCATATTCTCAAACTGATACAATTTTTTTTGGCCTTGTCTTAGAAGCATAAACAAAAGCAGAATCTGTGAATTCAATAGTTATCTATATTGCTGTATATTTTAACTAGGATCGGGCTTTTAGTTATGAAATATATGCTGCTAGGGAAGTAATCACAATTCTACTTTTTTATGTTTATTCCTTTGCTCTGGACACATGTATATTATACTTAACAATAGGAAGTTGCATTAGCATCTCAGATGGAAACTACTAACAGTATCCTTCATTTTTTTAATGATGAGTGAGGTTTATGTTTTCTGAGTGGAAAAATTCTCATATGTCACTAAAGCGCAAACTATGTTTAAAAGTGCTATTTGATGAGAAAATATTATATGTAATATTACCACTGTTATTAGTTTGATAGTAGTAGCATAAATAATACTAGGTTCACCATCATAATACTTGTATGGTTGAATTGATGAGCTAGAACCCTGGATTAAATAAAAATTACTCATAACTTCCATTTTGTTAAAAGGAAATAATTATAAAATATTTAAAAAAATCTCATCTGTAATATTTTTAAGAGAATATATTTGTCCCAGGAAACCTGTACAAAAATATTCATATCAGCATAATTTGCAATTTCCAGAAATTAGAAATAATTCAAATGCTCATTTGATATTTGTGGCATAGTCTTAAGTGGAATGTCAAAGAACAATATGAATGGACAGGCTATAGTTATACACATCAATATAGATATATCCACTTTCCTAGTACTGAGCGAGTGAAAGAATAAAGTCACAAAGGAAAACCTACAATACGACTCCTATTGTACAGACTCCAAAATCAGGCAGATGAATATTGGGAGGTAAAACTACTAATAAAATGAAGGAAATTATTATTAAACAATCAAAATATTAGTTACTTCCTGAGGGACAATAGGGGTGTAATTGGGATATATTACTTGGTAATTTAAAAATAAAGGAAGAAAGAAAAGCACTTCCAGGGTTAATATAAATCTCTACTTGAAATTAAGGAAAGTAGCAGACAAATGTTAGTAACCGTATGCAAAAATATTTTTGTCACTTAACCCTCAGTTAAGAATTAAAATATGAAAATGACCCCATCCCCCAAATACTTTAAGCAAGATTTTATTGTACAATATATACCAGATGTGGTTACTTGGAGGAAACCGTGTAGTATATAGAAACACTTTAAATCAGCCTTGCCCCATACTTGCTTTCCTGGAGCCAATAAAAATAGGTATGACACTTGACTTACAAACATTAGTGATTTGTACAAATATCACCAAATCCATCTCAAAAGGCCTTGTTGATGCCATGTTCCTAAATATGCATGCTCATTCTTAAGGATCTATATGATTTTTTGCTTATATTTCATTTTATACCAGAAGCCCAGTGCATGAAATTTGTGCACGGTGGGGGGGGTGGTGGAGGTGCGGGGGGTGTGTGTGTCCCAAAGCCTGGCCTGCATGCTCTCCAATCTGGGACCCCTTGGGGGACATCCCACTTGCAATCCGGGACCCCTGGCTCTTAACCACTTGCCTGCCTGCCTACCTGATCACCCCTAACTGCCTCTGCTTGCCAGCCTAATCTCCCCCTAACTGGCCCCCTGCTTGCCTGGTCATCCCCTACCCGCCCCCCTGCCAACTTGGTCCCCCCCTAACTGCCCCCTTGCTGGCCTAGCCATCCCCTAACTGCCCCCCTGCTGGCCTAGCCATCCCCTAACTGCCCCCCTGCTGGCCTAGCCATCCCCTAACTGCCCCCCTGCTGGCCTAGCCATCCCCTAACTGCCCCCCTGCTGGCCTAGCCATCCCCTAACTGCCCCCCTGCTGGCCTAGCCATCCCCTAACTGCCCCCCTGCTGGCCTAGCCACCCCCTAACTGCCCCCATGCTGGCCTGGCCACCCCCTAACTGCTTCCCTGCTGGCCTGATTGCCCCTAACTGTCTCTGCCTTGGTCTCCGCCACCGTGGCTTGTCCAGAAGGAAGTCGGACGTCCAGAAGATGTCCAGTTGACCCAGTCTAATTAGCATATTACCCTTTTATTAGTATAGATGTTATTTTATTCTTCTGTAAAACATACTGGAAAAGGAGAGCAAGACTTGTGTAGATATTTAATGAGACCACTTTAATACATAGGAATAGGTTATTCCAAAGAACTGAAACAAAAATCCAGTTTGGGATACACTGATTCAGAAGAATTTGGCCACAGTGACCACAGTGCATGGCATTCTTCATTGTCTGGAGGCGCTTGCAGTGGTTTCTGCATTTGGTGTTTTTAAAGAACAGGAACCATGACTAGAAGACCATTAATACCCAAGAACAAGAACTTTAAAGAAATAATTATTGTCGCTTCCTCCTGGATTAAGTCAATTTTCAGTACGCTATCAGGAAAGAATTTTTTCCTCAGCGTATCGATGCTTAAACTTTTGGGGTCCACATAATTCTTCCTCTAAATATTTTAGGTTAATTTTCTGTATTCCTAAAAGTAATTATGTATAAATTTTTAAATAGATTTTTAATTCGTGCCATGTAGGTGAATACATATTATATACTTAGGTAAATATATAATTATACTTTTTGTTTTACATTTTTACCTGTAGAACCCTGTACTTAAATACTTCAGTACTTAAATTTTCCCCATTGATTTATAGTAGTGCTTAACTTGATAACTTATTTTTATTACATATTTAACTCCTTTCATCAAGACTTTTTTAAAAAAATATATATTGATTTTTTTACAGAGAGGAAAGGAGAGGGATAGAGAGTTAGAAACATTGATGAGAGAGAAACATTGATCAGTTGCCTCCTGCACACCCCCTACTGGGGATGTGCCCACAACGCAGGTACATGCTCTTGACTGGAATTGAACCTGGGACCCTTCAGTCTGCAGGGCGACGCTCTATCCACTGCGCCAAACCAGTTAGGGCTTTCATCAAGACTTTTATAATTTTGTTGCAGAGATGAAACTGATATTTTAAAGAAAATTAAGGAATTAAGCAGCTAATCCAATAATTTAATGACTATTGCCTGTTATCAAAATGGTACATCTTCTTTTATTATATTTTTTGCATTGACCTTTTTGTCATTAACCTTAATATAAAAATTTGAATTTACTAGTAGAATTACATTTGCCTAAAATTGGTATACCCATATCGATAGAAAATGTTTTATATTATAAAATAAAAAGAACTTGCTGTTTTTAAAAATCATAAAAGATAATTATCTTACTGAGATACATGGCAATTTCTAAAAGTACAAGAAACAAGAAATAAAAAGCATTCTGTCTTGAAAACTGGGTAGCTGGGTGAAAAAAAAAGTTCTCTGTTAGATAGATACCTTGAACAGTGACAAGTGAATTGATTGTAATAGCCAATAGTAAAATCCCTCCATATTAGTACCATATTTAATATTTCATCTAGATATTTTTATTGATTAAAAATTAATCAAGAAGGTCATAAATGAAAGGAAAAATGTGTAAAGAAAACAGTATTCTGTCCCTTGGATCCCCCCACACTACCAGCCTTGGATCTTTTAATCTATCACCTTATGAATAGTAAGTTTCAATTTTTAAAAGGTATTAATTTGCTGCAGTGCAAATATGTTTGTATATACAAATTAACTTTTACATTTTAAGAATGCGCTAAACTTTTAAGCAAATATCAAACTCATTATTATGCATGGTTCTTTTTTACTTATCTATAAATGAAAATTTGTACTGTCTTAAATAATAGTTGAAGAACTTATACTTGTGAAATTATTTTCCTTTGGCAAAGCAGATGGAAAAGATTTGGGGGGAAAAAACACAAGTGCTGGCACAATTGACAGGAATGTTGGAAAAAATTTTTAAATGTTGGCATAGGAATTCTTTAAAAATTCTAACTTACATGTGAAATGAAAGTACAAAAGCATCTGTCCTATTTTATGCACACTGACTAAATAAAATGAACAATTATATTTAGCAAAGTATAAAGCTCTTTAAACTAAGGTATTCTGTCTGGTTTTTGGCAATCTTTATGTTATTTGTTCCACTGAATTAAAATATTATGTTTGAGTGCAAGCACACTTTGAAAAGCAGAAATTATATAGAGAGGAGAACATTCCCTTTCCTAACTCTGATGACCCTAAATGAAATATGAAATTTTTGAGAGACTAAACACTTGTAATATACTTGAGAGGAGAACTTTGGATCTTAGCCTCATCGGTCATTCAGCCCATTTATTATTGAAATATTTCAAGAACCTTTGGACATGTCATCTATTGTTCTGCCCAAGATGGAAATATATAGATTAAGTCTTTAAGGATTACAACCACATTTTTTTTTATTTTCCACATTTTATGTTTTTAATTCTACTACCAGATGTGGTTATATTTTCACTGAAATCAAACAAGAAACTTACAGCAACATGAAATTCTGTTTTGATTCCTTCAGAAATTAGTTTAAATCTGTTTTAAGGCCAACATGACATTTTCAGATTGTTGTCTGAGATACTTTTATTATGTCTTGGTGCTGGAAAAAAGATTGGAACTCTTATTCAGGTTTCAGTAAAGTTATTTTGCCATGCGATTATTTCTTGGTAGGAAGTATTGTTTTTCATGCATCAAGTTATTAAAACAAAGAGCTCAATACCTGGTTTCATAATTGTGATTGAAATGGTCCATAGTGTACCTAATTTTCTTTGATCCTTTATGTTGAACAGTTCAGGCCGTGGCAATTGCCTTAATAATGAGCCTCCCAAGCGTGAATTTGTTTACCCAACTGTGGCCCCAGGTCAGGTGTATGATGCTGATGAGCAATGTCGTTACCAGTATGGACCAGGATCCCGCCAATGTAAATTTGGGGTAAGAAGTCTCAATCCTTACGTTTAGTCATTTCTATGTGATCTTTCATGACACAAATGTTAGGATGGAGTTTTGATGAATATAGTTTACCTCTGGTAACATTGTTAATGCAAATATTTCCTTTGATACTGCTCTTTTTCTGAAATTGGTATAATATCTATTTCTAAATGCTTGCATAATCCTAAATTAAACAATTTTCAAACGTCTTGAGAGATGCTGGTAGAATTTTTATAATTTCTATTGTATTTCTTCTTTCAGTCCTGAATTTATGATGTCAACTGAGGTTTATCTTAAGAAATGGTATGGCTTTGAAACCTCTCCCCCACCCTCACCTTTTCTGGTACTCTAATAATTGTGTCAAGGGCATTTTTATATTGGCTAGGAGGAGCCTTTACTTTATATTTTCTAGTACTGAGTCATTTCAAGTTGCTTCAGTCCACTGCCCACATTCTGACACAACCACCATGTGGGGACAAGATGACGCTAACCCAAACAGAGAAACAAGGAAAATTGTTGCGGAAAAAAAGATATTATGGTTGACTCTCCATGACTGCCTAAAGAAGTCTGTGTCTAGCTCAGAAAAATGCATACAAAATTCTTCTTGAGTTTCACAGAGAAAGATTTCGGTGTCTAGGATAGGGACATATTTATAGTCAGTACACATTATAAGCATGTTTTTAAAAATGTATTTTTATTGATTTCAGAGAGGAAGGGAGAGGGAGAGAGAGCTAGAAACATCAATGATGAGAGAGAATCATTGATTGGCTGCCTCCTGTACCCTCCCCACCAAAGATCAAGCCCACAACTCAGGCATGTGCCCTGACCACGGAATCGAACCGTGATCTCCTGATTCATAGGTCAACGCTCAACCACTGAGCCATGCCGGCTGGGCAAGCATTTTGAAAGAAAAAAATAGAAATTTAAATAAGTTATCCAAAAATATTCAGGAGTGAGAAATGTTTAAAGACTTGATTCCTGTTTTTATGCAAATAGTGTTTAAAATGCCTTTTAGAAAACATTAATAATAAAAAGAATTACGTTTTCACATAGTTAAGATGAAACAATGTATGCACTGTACTGTACCAATTATCCTCTAGGTACAGTACAAAGGAAAGTGATTTTTAAAGTCTCGGGTGAAAAGCCTATTATGATTCATGGACAGCTTTGACAGCACATTTTGTGCACTAGATTTAAAGATTGTGTGCAACAGTCTTGAGTAAAACATTGGCCTTTCTTGTCTCTCTCTGCTGTAGAGTTTTCTATTCTTATTTCTTTATGGTTTCTTTATTCTTTTTTTCTTGAGTTGCTTTTTCCCTCAGAAAACATCAGCCAAACTTTAATCCCAGTCTTTGTATATACTTGTAGTTTAGTAGGTTGAAATTCATTATTCTTATTTATGGTCTCTCTTTTCTATGTTAGCAAGTGAAATAGTTAATTTATATTTAGTTTTTCAATTGGAATTTGGGTTTTAACTCTACATATATATTCCTATATTAGATAATTTGTATTAGCAGTTCTACAGGATATATGGAGGTACTTTTTCTTCAGTGGAATAAAAAAAAATTGTCCTGATTAGCCTATTTCTATATATGTATATCTCATTTATTTCAGATTAGTTGATATGAAGTGAGATAAATAGTAATTGAGAAATTGTGTATTTTCAGTTATGTTTCTTATATTCAGCTTTAGAGTCTTCTTCTCTATGCATTTATAGGCTTTTGCAATAGATAGCAAATAAAATTAGAAAATGGAAAGATATTAACATTTACAATCTTAAACAAGTATTTGGAGATTGTAATGGCTATAAATGCAAAGAACAAAACTATAGCACAATATGCAGAATTGTATAATATAGTAATCTATAAATGATATATAGTTTATGAATGATATTTATATAGTCTTTTCTGAGGTACTTCAGACTGCTTTGATTAAAATTATAATTATTTTATAAAATTTTATAGATAAGGTAACTAAAAATGCAGAATATGATTTACCTACTCCAAGGTAAAAAATAAAAATGGGTTATATAGTAAATATGTTATCAAGATAGCAGGTGTATTTTATTTCAGGAGACAATTTCTATCAATTTTCATACACACAAAATAATAAATAAGGTTGGGAGAAACTTTTGGAGGTGACAGATCTTTATGGCCTAGTTTGTGATGATGGTTTCATGGGTGTATTGTATACTTTCTCTCCCAATTTACCAAATTACATCCATTAAATATGTACAATTTTTTGTATGTCAATCATATCTCAATGAAGTAGTTTTAAAAAGAGAGGAAAGTGCTCATCACAGTTAGATTTAAGGCCCAGGACAAAACCAGAGAAATTTTATAGACAATATAGCTTTTTTTAATTTATGGGGAATTATTATTATCTATGACGATTGTTACTGTTTACATAAATTTAAGAGTTCGCACATAAATGCAAATAGTGGGTTGTTGTTACTTACTTTAATGTAGAACTGAACCATGTTTTATTAATAGACTATGTATTCTGAAGCATAAATGGGAACATTTGATCTAATACATGGTTTCACAATGGAACAGGATAATTTTTGAAGGAATATTTTCAATAGCAAGACTGCTTACCATTAGCTAATTGACCATCAGTAGATTTTATTTAGAGACCTTTTCCAGTGAATGGCAGCCAAGTTGTTGTAAACTTCAGACAGCAAAGGGGTATGACAAGCATGCAAAGTGCTTTTTATTTACCTGGCACCTGAAAGACATCCAATCATGTTTGCTTTCCTCTATGAATATCTGTTATCCATGGTACCATCTCTGTATAGCTGCTTGCTGGTAGCGGTTTAGGAGAATCTGAACCATCTGTACATTTGGGAGCATACAAAGATATTTTAAGGATCACACTGATTCATCCTTTAATCTCAATGAAATACTTAGAAGTACATATAAGGGAAGTTTAAACAAATTAAATTTGAGTATCCTATAAAAAAGAAAGCTAAATGTTGGCCTCAAAACCATCTTCAGACTTCAGAACATTTATTATAGTTTGGTTGCTGGTTAACAAATTGTTCTCCTCTACCAAGAGCATTAAAAAACACAGTGGCCTTGCCGAGGCCGGTTTGGCTCAGTGGATAGAGCGACGGCCTGCGGACTGAAGGGGCCCAGGTTCGGTTCCGGTCAAGGGCATGTACCTTGGTTGCGGGCACATCCCCAGTAGGAGGTGGGCAGGAGGCAGCTGGTCGATGTTTCAAGGTTGTAGATTAGATAGTAGGAACAATATCAACTGATTAAAATTGGAATTTTGCACTGAGGGAGATTGTAAAATCACTTTGCTAGAAGATTGTAAGACGGTGTAACTTTCTACGGTGTGATCTGGTATGGATTTAGGGAATAAAAGACATGGACTTATTTTAGCACCTCAATATTCTTTTGGAGTCTGAATATGTATATTTATCAAACATATACTTGACAAGAAGTTGATTTAATTTATATTTTCCCTTAAAATTCAAGCCAAAAATCATAGGTTCATAATCACTTGTATACTTAAAGCTCAGTAGTTTTCACTCTGGGTTTGCTTCTTAGAGGTATTTTTTTTTAACCATTTAATCATTTTTAACCCCTTCAAATTGATTAGTTATTTATCCAAATTAGTTTTTAGTTTCTCTCTCTCTCTCTCTCTCTCTCTCTCTCTCTGTGTGTGTGTTAACATTCTAGACTTTTTTTGGGGAGTCACTCCCTCCCACATTCATGTATTATAGATAAGTCACCTCATGTTAGCTCCAAGGGTGGCACAGCTCTTCTAAACTCCCTTGCACTTAAATTACCCACATAACAGGATTAACCTATTTAAAGCTGAAATAAGGGTACATTATTCTCTTTCTTCAGATGGCTACTAAACACCTGGAGCCAGGCCATAGGGTCACCATATGTTGGTTTTCAATTTTCTTTTGTGTGATACAATGATAAGTAACCTTTCTAATCATTGATGCTCCTTCTTGACCTCTTCAGGGCTCTGCTCTCCCCCTTGGCCATCAAGACCCTTTATTGCAAACAGCTGCTGAGAGATGTTACTGATAGGGTAATGAGGACAAAGAGAATGTTTCATATCCACAGTCAAGGACCCAAAATGGCATAGGGTTTAGGATTTCCAAGGGCAGAAAATTTGTATCACTTTTATGATCTGTACAGTTGTTTAAAATGTAAAAATAAAAAAATCTAGCAATAAAGATGCCATTTTCTCTTCAGATTCTATTTTATTTCCTTAATGATATAATAAATATAAAATGTTTTTGCACTTTTATGATATTTCTCTCCTCCTTATGTGAATGGCTTATTTTAGTTTTCTCAAGTAAATAAAAGCCCCCCCCCCATTTTTTAGTATTATTTACAGCTATAATTACGTGAAAAGGATGAAAATTTTAGAGAATATAATTCTAATTTCTTTTGTTTTGAAAGGGTCTTTGACTATAAAATAGTTCAATTATTCTATTTTGATCAAAGCAGCTCTAGCTTAGTTTTTTACAGACTTATTTTCTGAATATCAGGTAATTCTGATATATTTAAAAGAGTAGCTTAGTTGTCTGGGGATATTTTGGACATTGATATTAGCCAGGCCTGATTCTGGTCTAGATTCTGATCTAGATTTAATTAGGATTGAAGCAAGTTGCTAAATCTTTCTGAAACTATAAAGTTTCTCACACTTTCTAAACAGATTTTCGTGATGATTAAATGAGATACAAATATAAATATGCCTACAACAGTAGTTGACAGTATGCCCTGATAAAGTGTTAGTTACTTTCATTTATTTTCCTGCCTAAAACATTGCTGCTATGGGGCATGAAGTATATCCTGGAGCTCCTCCAGTGAGGGGAGATTTGGTTTTATTTCACCGTTGTTCAGCTCTGACTTTTAGAAGATATTTTTATACATTGACCTGAAATCGGCTCCCTCTTAGCTTTTATTTATATTTTCCTTTTTTTCCAGTTTGATTGAGAAATAACAGACATATATCACTGTGTAAGTTTAAGGTGTATAGCATAATGGTTTGATCTACATATATTGTGAAATGACTACTACAGTGGGTTTAGTTAACATCTGTCATTTTAATTTTTTTTTTATTTTTTTTCTTTTTTTTTAATTTTTTTATTTATTACAAAGGATATTACATATGTGTCCATTTTTTCCCCCCGCCCAAGACAGTCCCCTAGCCTCCCCCATCCCCCAGTGTCTTATGTCCATTGGCTCTTCCCTATATGAACATCTGTCATTTTATATAGATACAATAAAAAGAAGTTATACTCTGAATCTAATTCTTAGTTTTTAAGAACGTGGTCTCTGTTAGAGGCAGATACCCTCGAAGACCTCTCTCTCTAAGAAGGAAGCATCACAAGCCATAAGGTTAAGGCTACAAAGGAGCCAACTGCTAGGGATGCTGGGGACAAATGCCAGCAGGGATTTAAGTGTCCACATGTTTAATTAGACTGTAGATGTGTTTGTTTGTTTAGTGGCTACTAAGTTATATAGGTTATAAGAGGTCTCCTCTAACTCCTTTTCCCCCCATAAGCCCTCTTTTGTTCATAAATGATTTTGCAGAATGCTAGGTTTCTCACAGAATGCATTTATCACCTTTCAGCAGAAAGCAATAAAAATACATTAATCTGGAATGCCTGGTGAGAGGGGTTGGAGGAGCATGCCTGGAAGGACCCAAAGCGATTCCTTCAGTTTGCTTTACCCTATGGGGCATTCCCATTTTCTAGAAACTTTCGAGTTAATTCACTGTTACCGCTTTATTTCTGAATTGTGTTAACATGACATAAGTTCTTTTTAAATTTTTTTAAATTGAGATAAAATTGACATATACTATGTTAGTTTAAGGTATACAATATAATAATTCAATATTTGGATGTACTGTGATCATCACAGTGTCTAGTTCACATCTATCATCGTACAGGGTTATAAAAATTTTTTTTCTTGTGATATGTGATATAAGTTCTTAGAATTAAGTTTTGAGAGTTTAAAGAGTAGTTGGGGAATAACAATAGAAATAAATGTTATATATAAGTTTATCTTTGCATTCCAGATTAATATTTTTTTTGCAAAAAGATATTTTATACGCAGTGCTTCTAGTTTAAATTAAAAGCTTGCAGTATTATTAATGATGCTAGTTGATGATCATATATAAAGAGAAACTGAAACTTTTCAGTTTCTTCAAAGTAACCTTTTTGGCTTTTATTTAAAACACTTTATTCGAATAGATGTTGAACAGCTTATTTTAAAATCTGATAGTGGGTGAACCAAATGAGGTATTTTATATTGCTGATATTAGAATAAGTGTTGTAATTTTCCCATAATGATGTAGGACAATGAAAAACCATAATAAAGAAGACAGCTCCAAACAACATCTGAAATATTTCAATTATAGAAATGCCTGTTATACAAGTAGCAGCACTTGTTCAAAACCAAATTTCCCTTTCACAAAGGTGGTGGACTACATTGATGAACTGCAAACAACATTGCTAGATTGTTCTTTAGGCAACTTTGAATTTTAGAAATTACTCCCTGCCCATTCCTATGGTTTCTATTTCCTTCTTAAAATGACCTTTATTTGAATATTGCAGTAGATCTAAGAAGTCAAATACCTAGCACCACTCTATTAGTAATTGGTAAGTTTGTTCTATTGTCTGTACTTGAGAGTATTAAGCATATATTCCCTTTCTACATATCCATTCTTTCCCCCTACTCTTCCCTATTAATGAAATTTCTGCACATTAAAATGAAAAGATCTTAATCAATGTTAAAATCTAAGATTTACTTCATCCACTAAAATGAGAGTTTTTTTTTTTTTAAATGAGAGTTTTAAAGACAAACATTTACATGATACTGCATAGTGGATAACCCACCTTCCATAAGAGCCTCCTCCAAAATCCTCACTTTGATGTGTCAACACCAGCAAGAAACAAACAATGCTGCGTGTCTGCGGGTGTATTTTATGGAAGAGTGGACGTGATTGTAGTCTTTACTTCTGATCAATTTGCTTTTGCCTTCTTTCCTAGGAAGTGTGTAGAGAGCTCTGGTGTCTCAGCCAAAGCAACCGCTGTGTCACCAACAGTATTCCTGCAGCGGAGGGAACATTTTGTCAGACTGCTACTATTGAAAAGGGGGTAAGCTCAAATGATTTATTAGCTATTTGATAAATGTTTGGTGTTGCTATTCCGCTACGATTGTTAGGAAATCATGCATATTAATTAAAATGTACTTGAGAAAATAATACACTTCTAGTCTAATGAGTTGTCAAAACGTTATATCAATAATATTCATTGTTTAGAAAATTACAGTGAATAATATTTTCTGGGCCAGTTTCACCTTTCTGTAAGTATATGTGGGTGTTATATTTATAAAGAAAATGTCTAATAACAATTCTACATAATAGAGCCTGCTTAGTCATATGTCTGTGTGTTTTTTTTCTGGAAAATTATGTGATCCCAAAATATTTTATAACTGTAGTTTAACTGGAGTCACTTTTATATTGCAATATGAGAGGAAGGGCTCATAGTAGAAGAATACTTAATTTATTGAGCATAGAAATTGGAACGAAGTAATTTTGGTTTCATCAGTATAGTTTTCAAAAATATTATTAGAAATTATTGAAACAGATAGGAATCATTTATACACTATTCCTGAAGTTCTTTAGGAATTTCTACTCATGCAAATTCTAGAGTTTATGGCTATGGACTGAGTTCACAATAATAACTACTAGTGTCATCTGTTCTCAGTTCTGACTTCTTCCATGTTAGTTGGGCTAGTTTCAACAAAGATTACACTGGATTTCAGCGTGCAATCTGATGTTTAAATAAAAAGAATGAAAGCTTTTGGGCAGCTGTCACAGTTTATTAATCCTTGCTGACGGCTTCATTCAGGACCCATGACCTAGTGCCATGTTGATGGCTTTTCCATGCTGCGTTTGGAAATGTTGGTAAATTATGCTAAATGTATGAATTGATTGGGTCATTTTTAAAGGATTAAGGATCTTTTTTTGAGACTTTGTAAGTAGCCAATAAAAATACAAAGACCTTCGCACAGTACCAAAAATTCCTTCTTTTTTTTTTTTCACTGTAGTAATAGAAAATATTAGGAAGCACATTCTTGAAACAACAGTCTAGGTTTATTTTGGAACCAACAATTCTTGTCAACGACAAGTAGCAATTTAAATCAATCTGTACTTAGGAGAAATATACAGCTGTAAGGGGGGAAGTCACAGTGAGAATCTGTTTCTTTATTTGCCATTGATTATTATTCTTATAATCCAGTTCATGGGCCACAGTTTCTGTTTGCTTGGAATAATACTATCACTAGGCCTGATGGCTCTTTTTATTCAACTTTATTTCTTAACATACAGCATAAAAAATTCATTCGTTTAAATACCTCAGAGCGCTCCTAAAGCATTCTATAAATTATATAATCACTCCAAATGAGTAAATCACAAGTAGTGGCTATTTGAGAACACATCGTTCAACCCTACCAATCATTTACACAGTAAACACATCTGTGCTTAATTGCAGGATCCTCAAATGTCATATCTTACAACTGTGTATATATATGTGATAGACATGACATATTTCTTGAAAATTACAGATAATTTTGAGGAATATTTAGATGACACTCAATAATATTAAAGCTAATGTATTGAATTTAAATTTAGATAAACAAATAGAAGGGAATTATAATTCTTCTAAGTATAAATAAGAATGAGCACAGATAAAAAGTGAGTAAAATGGGAAAATATATTTGATTTCTAAAGATTCACATTTTTAGTTTAGGTTTGTTGTCAGCTTTTTGATCCCTAGCTCCTTTTTTCAAATGAAGTCTACATAATTCTGATATGTACATTTTAAAAATGTCAATGATCTGGTTAAAAGAATCCCTTACCTGACTCCTTACCCTGTCAGCTTTTGATGTACTTCAAACAGAACATACTGGACTTCATGAAAAACTATTTGAGAACCTTGTAAGTGTAGCAAAGCCTGTGTACCAAGAGGTCGTTTATATTCCCAACATTAGAGTTTAGTTTGATAAAGTCAGTATGTTGGATTTTACCATCTAAAATTATTCTGCCAAACAAAAATCTTAACTGCTGTTCCAGGGATATGAAAGGTCAGTAGACAGCTTTAGGAATGGTGCTACTTCTTAAAATGAATGAATGAAAACAAACACATGTAGACTCCTAGAAAGAAAAAGGACAGCACTCTAGAAGACCTTGAATATCTTCCTATCATTAACTTTGAATTTTTGAAGAGGTTTTTAAAGAACTAGATCCACCTACATTTTTAAGGAGAAAAAACACACAAAGGACTAGACATTTGAGCTGAGCCGCTCTTTATTTTTCAGTAACTGCATTTGTCATATCTTTTTACAAATTTTGTTGTTGGTGATTTAAGTTATTTTTCTCCTTAAAATAAAAGTGTTTATTGTTGCCAAATTGCAGATTTTCCTTCTAGGGTTATACCTATCTGGAAATTAAACCAGAGCTCAGCATTTTGATTCAAATCAAAACAACCATGCAAAAAAAGAGCTAGGGACAAAAATCAAAGTGAAATTTTCAGTTGGTCAGGTCAACTTTGTGTGGCCAGTCTGTGTTTTTGCCATCTAAAAATAGTTGACATTGATAGCAGGCTCGAAGAGGTCAGTGGGAGAAAAAAGAACCTATGTAATACTTTCAACAATAAAGATTTTTTTTAATTAAAAAAATAGTTGGCATTACCAATAATGATAATGGTGATACTGAATATTTTTAAAGTACTTACACTGTGCCAGGCACATACTTGTTCTGTTTAATAGTGACAAAATCCTATGACGTAGAAACTGTTTTATCTCCATTTTATAGATGAGGAAACTTAAACTTGAAAGCCTAAGATTACACAGCCATTTAATAGCAGGGCTGAGATTCCAACCCAGGTCTTTCTAATTCCAAAGTTGAAAACTGTGCCCCTCTATATTGACTCTGATTTTACTTTATCTTTAGATAGGAAATTTTGTAAAGAAAAAAGCAAATTTTCATTGTCATGGGAATAAAGCGAGTCACTGAGCTTGAGATTGGTAGTCACAATGTATTATGTCCTTTAATTCTAAGTGGGATTTTCACTTACCTGTGACAGTGTCTTATCTCAGGAATCACAATAGGAAGGCACTGTCGGCAGAACATTAGCTAAGAATATATGATTGTGTTACAACTGGCAAAATAATTAATCTCCATTTTAAAATGAGAGGTAACCTATTTCTACCTATTTCACAGAAATGTTGTGAGGATGAAATGAGATAATATCTCAGTGAACTTTTTATGGTTTTCCAGAGAAGGAAGGTAGTAGTATATATTACGAGAGCATCATCGTCACTTTTGATGATTATTTGCCAACCTTAGATGATTGTGGGGCAGAAAATTCTTTGTCAGATTATCTTAACTGGCAGTAGCCAGCATCAGAGAGTATAAGCATAAATTTGTGTGGCTTAGAAACATGAATGAAATATACACAACTTCTGGTTTTAACTCTAAATTTCAATACTACTCTCATCAGAAGAAACAAGAAAGAACCTACATCCTGTCTAGCCAGCAGGATAAAACCAAAGCTGCTCATAGTTTTTTGAATAATTTGTTTTAAATGGTGGGGGGAGAAGGATTGCTTAAGTGATAGCATAGACATATCCAGAGGACTGGATCCACAATGATCTTGTCAAACTCTGGCTGCAAAAGATATGGGATCCCTGCCCGAGGCGCAGTTCCACAAATGTTCCATGTAAGTATGGGAACTGTTCCATGCACATTTAGCAGATGGAGTAAGAAATATGGCCAAAAAATTAAAAACTGATCTTTGCGTGAGTCCTGGGGGGTCTGACATCGCTATTACAGCCATTGGATGTTTGCCTGAATAAGCCATTCAAGGATTGAATAAAAACCATATGGTCTGAATGGATGTGCTTAGGGACAGTAGCATTAACCAAAGGAGGAAATTTGATGAGCCCAGACAGTGCGCTAGTTGGTACTGTGTGTCCATGGGTCAAACTTTTACAAATAAATCAATATAACTTTAACCCAAAAAAACTTTCTTTAGACATGGCATCAGCAACAGCACTTTGGACAGGCATCGGAGGGATGCCATAGTTGATGAAATAGTAAACAAAGATTTAGACTGTAAAAACTTTGATAGCAGTATGTGCATTGTTATGGAACAAGATATTAATGATAATGAAAACCCAATCCTTGCAAACTCTGATTGTGACCACAAAGAAGGTTTAGAATACTTGGTTTATTTCCAAAAGATCGATTTGATGATTCTACAAGATTGAGTTAGAGGTATAGCCCAGCATTTAGACTTACATATATATGACATCGGTTCCTGATATCTTTGTATGGGAAACATAGGGCTGGCTTAGACTAGGATTATTATAGACCCTTCTAAAGCACCAGCTATATAATAGGACATTTGCAGCCTTAGATCTTTAGAGTAGAATATAACATGTTTCAACTGGGTTTCAAACTGGCTCTTGAATTTTTTTAGAAATTTCAATAGCATGGGATGACAAGTTCTGATTTAGAATTTGGGCTGGAATAAGCTAACCTGCACCTGGAGTGAAAAGATAAGGCTTTTTAGTAGTGCTGTGCTCCAACTTTTCTGACTTGGGAAGAACATTCTATATTGAATCACCAATATCTCTTGCTTTAAAATCTTAGGATTTCCTTAGAGGTCTCTCATTCCTGATGCTGGCTTGACCCAGTGCTGGCTATGGTACAAGATCTATAATCACATCCTAGAATGACTCTAGTTAAAAAATATGTATGTTTTCAACATTTAAAAATAAAAAAAATATTTTAAAAGTATACTCATCTTGAAAAATTATTGTGGAATTCTAAGAAATTCTCAAAGTTAGATTTTTAAATTTATAATGTATCTTGCTTGAAGACAGTTTCCTGATGTGGATTATGAAATTCAGGAAGAGATGTTGTTTAATAATTGTTTCTTAGGAAAAATTTAAAGCTTCACTGGAGTATATTGTCTTTCTAGATAATTTTTAAATATATTTATTTTACTTTGAAGGAATGTGAAAAGCAAGAATTCTTGAACAATCTGAGAATTTATTCTTGGAATGTGATAGTTTCACTTTTACCTTT